AAGAAGTTCAGAAATATGCATTTATAAAGTGTTCGGATCAAAAATGGGGAAGAAATCGTCGGCTAAGGATCGCGCTGTATATTAATGCAAATTTAGGTTGCAAAGCTTTATCAAACCTTCCTAATTCCAAACGGTTCGCGCTTAGTCGTTATCATAAACCAAATAATATTTAATTAACTTAAATGCTACTGGGCGCATCTTGTTGGCGACAATTCAATATCACATTTCGGCGTCGGCTTCGAAGACTTGTTTGTATGCACTCGGTTAAAGGCGGCGCCATCAGCCCTCACTAAATCATCCCTACACGCTGTGCCCATCAATCATGAAGTTCAATGTTGTTATTCGATTTTAACCCCCTTGGATTTCGGGATTTTTTATGGCTTGGTACTGAGTGGTACCGGAAAACTGTCTCCAGTTCAGGTAACCGTAAATCGCCCAACATCCGACGCGAGGAATGCATTGAACTCATTGAAAATGAATAAATAACCGAAATAATCGCCGTTTTCTGCTCATTTTGCCCGATTTGAGCAGATGCGATCTTGAACCGACAATATTGTCTTTAGCATTGACGCAAAAACTTTACATATGCACATCTTTTAAAACTACGCTTCAAGAAGTGGTTTTTGGCTTAAAAATGAGTTCGTTCGCGCAGCCATCAATTGCAGTACGAAGTGAACAAAATTTGGTGCAAATTAAATGAGTGGTTTGAAAAATATCACTCAAGCACAATGCAAGTCTACTTTGTTTTTATGGTACATACTTTCCTGACTGTGTTTCAATTCCAAATCAAAATCAATTCCTGGGCTTCAGTCATTTATTGTCTACTTATCAATTAAAATACGTTTCGGTGTTTTCCACCATCATCAGTTTCTATGTGTAGCCTTGTTGCTACTTTAAGCCTTGGCATATATTTGGAGTATTCATTTTGTCCATTTTGCACACTGCGGACTGTGTGGATCTTTCACCCATTAAAATTTACACGGCTTCACCTCGACCACCCTGTATATATAGAGGAGCACGTTCTTAAACCGAAAGCTTTGTTGAACCCCAACAAACACTTCGGAGGAAAAGCTGCGGACTCTGCGTAGCGTTAAATGAGCTTGTCTTTGCTGGAAAAATGCGGCCAATCCTCAACAAAAGATCTGGTTGTCTTGCACTGATGCGCCGAATGAAAACATGAAATTACCCATCATGAAGAAAAAACTGTCCCGAGGTGGATAACGATAATCAGAGAGGGGCAAATTACATGGTACCATGGAAGGTACCAGCAGTTCATCGGCGAGTGAAATTGTCTAAAATTATGGCCATGGCGGTACGTCTAGACAGACAGAAGTTTGGAAGGAAATAATCATCCACTTCTTAAAGGCAATTTAGGGTCGTGCTTGTTTCTTGCATTGCATTGCATGGTTCTTACGTACTAAGTGGAGAATAATGTCGAATAAGCAGCAAAATGACCAGAATTGAAGCCGAATTTGTTTGGTTTAGTGAAAATAGGTCGGACAGGACGTCGCGTCTCACCAGCCGGTTGTCCCGACAGCAGGCGTCGCTCATGAAGACGACTTTGTTTGTTTCATGCGGACGCCGAAGAATACTGGCCCCAGTGGAGGTGATTGTTTTTAACCCCCCATCCGTTCACATGCACACCCATTCGGTGTTAAAATATCCTGTTTGGGCCAATCAATTCGATTCTTTTCCATGAAACAAATATCTCCATGTCGGCACGTAGTCGCCAATCTGTTTGTGTCGATGTACAGGGAAAGTCGTTTGTAACATCCCAATTCTTTGGCCTCAACTCGATTCCTCTGAAGGGGTAGCAGGAACCGTGTTTTGCCGATTGTTCCTCCGTGTGAGACACTCAAGATGGTCTTGGTTGAAAATGCTCAAAAAGGAAAGCTTTTAAATTAAATTTTGTGAAAAAAGAAATGAAAAATTTTCAAACAAATACATACCAAAGGGCGACAGTATCGCAGTAGCGGCGCCAAACTGGTTCTATTCTCAGGTGTTAAATTCTTCACCATCAATCTTATGAAAGGGACCAGCATGGAATATGGCCTGGAGGGTTGGATTGTCTTATTCCAAGAAGGATTTTGGGACTTTCACAGTGTAAAATTTCTCCCAATATTAGAATTTGCTTCAATTTAATAATATACAGGGTGTCCCATGAGCTCATGATCAAAAGGGTACTGCGATATTTTTGGACCAAAAGAAGACGATCTGACCTAACTTTTATTAACAAAAAATGTCTGGCTCCCCTGCTATTGATGGTCAAAGTTCTTCAAAAACTTTATCTTTTTCGAAATATCGGGAGAATGGGATGATGTATTTTAGTGAAACTCGCTGTGAATTTGTTCTTTTGTAAGACACATACTTTGATGAAACAATCGAGTTCAGCCGTTTTGGACAAGTGGTGAATTCTTGAGTGTCGTGGTACAAAAACTACCAGAACTTTTTAGTTGGAGGATG